CAGTTGTTTACTTGGAGAATTGTAAGTCCTGTGTCTTGCGCTAACTGTTTCTTCTGCTCTTCGGAAGGGTACGGATGCTAATGGAAAAACAAATGTTTTAAAAGATGGATCAGAAGTTAAGAAAGAGTCACTTACTTCTAAGAATAAAACCACCGTTGGTGATTTCTTTAGTCTATGACTTGATTTTCCTACTTGCATCTTTTTTATCATGTGTTGAGAAATTGTGGGCAGGGACAAGAACCCGGAAACCTGTATTAGCAGCCCCATGTTCCTATCACATTCTGTAGGGCCAGCAGTAAAAAGCAAGGAGTTTAAGTTATTCAATTTCTTTAATCAGTCAGAACGCAAAGCACTTTTGTGATGGTGTCAGAATTTTGGTCATCTACCTCGCTTCTGCTGCACTAAGGGAACTGGTTTCAGACCCCTTTTACTCCCCTCCCTAGACAGCCTATCTAAAGCCCTTATTCTAAATTATCTTTGTGAGATGGCTCAATATAATCATCCTTCCCTAGTTAATTTGAGATTATTGACAGTAAAAGTTTAGAAAGTGAGGTAGTATATAATCACAACTATTCTCGTAAGCCATGGCAACCGATTCAATGACAACACAGTTTACTTACAGTATATTTCTGTTGACTCCTTTATGGGACAACAGAAGATTCTTTCACTGTTACTGGTTACTGCTCTAAGTTAACAGGGTCACACAATGATCACACAGCAAAGCGAACCAATTATGTGCAACGCTTCATATAGAAATTTTATATTTTACCTTCAACTACAACAATAAGAGAATGAAGCCATAGGTTTTCTTGTTTTCTAATTCTTTACTTCCCATCGAAATTCACCAACATTTATCATGGACAGTTCTCCCATTATCAAGCCACTTTCCTCTCTCATTCTAAAATCAAGGATTGTTATTTTAGACCCATACCTTTACTTTAAAAGACACTGTACTGGGTATACATAATTATGAAATAAGTATATTAAATAGGTCCCTGCTGTACATTCACTGATTTTCTTAAACAAAAAAGTAAACTTTTATCTAGCATGTCAAAGTCGTTCATAAAGTAGAAAGCCTTTTGTAATAAATACTTCCCATCAACATTATTAGAGGGTGACATTAGGAACAACAAAGTATTCCATTCAGAGTATTCTAATCATTCCAGTATTTGAGAGACTGAATGTTTTTCAATCATCTAAGACTTTATTCTTCAGGTATTTCATCTTCTATAATAGCGTACATTATCCAAAATGTGCACAATTACTTATTAGCAAACCCAAATGCCATTAGGTTAAACAAAATCCCCTGTACAGCAAAAGGGGTTAACTAGATTTGTATTAATATAGAAGCCAGGCTTTTAATATTCTGCAAATGTTAACAAAGAAAGATGATAATGTTGAGTTAATATGGGTTAAGCATAAAATGAAAATAAATTTTTCTGATTGCGAGGTGTTGACACTTTTTTGGCTAGGGCCTCCAGCCTGTTCCTGAAAGCTGTGTAATTACAGAAGGCTTTTCCCCTCCTTTCCCCCTCCTGCTTCGAGCCTACCCACATTAGTAATGACCCCTTCACTGCTTCAAAAACCACTAATGGTCTTCAGCACGGGCAAGAAAAATGAACAGGATAAATTGGAATCCACAGTCAGTAATTTGCATCCTATGAGGCTGCTTTGGCCACTCACACTCATTCCTGGCCATCAATCGTTGCCTGTCAGGTGCTGCACTCTGCCACCATGACAAATACTCCTCCTAACACTCTGATTCGTCCAAACAATGTAATTGTCCTCCATTCTCCTTTTGGTAATGGAGATAATGAATGACTGCACAAACAAGAAGGATTGCTCATCACTGACGCCAGTGTGGCTTCAAACTGGAAAAGGCCTGGAGTACAAATTTTAATGGACTGAAAACACTGGTTGGGGTGGGCGGGGCGGTGGCAAAAGAAATGTAAAAATCCTTTCTGTTATGGTATTTTCCTGCCAAATTCAGGGGAGTTGCACCCTTTGACTTTTTGCCCCTCCAAGATTTTTAGAGCCTAGGTTTATAGGTTATTTGCCCAACAGAAATATATTTTGCAAATAGCACAAATTAAAATGAAAATAAGAATGCATCACAAGAGTATCTAGACCTGCACTGGTAATGTCTTCCAGGGTGCTGTTTCTTCATGCAGTGTTTTTGATCTTTCTCGTGTGTTTAGTCTTGCTCACTGGTCACTGTTGTGATGCATTTGTCCAAGGCAGTTCTGACAAAATGTGGGTTGTAGAGTCTCTCTCTCTCTCTCTCTCTCTTTCGGTGTCTGTGTGTGTGTGTGTGTGTGTGTGTGTTTAAGCAAGAGAGAGAGAAGGTTTAGATGAAATAAAGGTTTAGGATGTAAGCAGAAGAGTTGAAATGGGAGATTACTGGAGAGTCAATTCCTTCAAGTTTGATTGTAAATTTTGTAAATTCTGATTGAATAACAATAATTCTTTACAATGTTTTGTTAGAAATTTAGTCAAATGACCACAGAATTACATAAACGGTGCATTTTATCTTGGGAATCCCTGAGCTGTATGGAATCACTATGAAAGCAGTTGCAAATTCCATCCACAATCATTAAAAAAATTGGTACCTTACCAAAATTCACCTTGCACAGATGGCTTTTTTTTAATTAATAGGGAAGACCATAATAACTTTAACTTATTTAAATAACGGTCTGTGGTTTTCGAACATTCGTGATTCCATGCCCCTTTTATACATGGGGTGGACTGTTTATCTCAAAGTGCTCTGGCAATCAGCCACTATATTTCTAAAATTAAAAAGGGGATTGAAAACAATCAGCTTTCAGAGGAATTGGAACCATGACAATATGTTTTGGATTAATTTACAAATATATGTATACATTTAAGGCCAAACTGTGGAACTAGAGAATTTCTACTACATGGTCTATCATATGCATTCTTCTGCTTTATTAGAACAGACATCATATTGAAATAATAAACATGGGAAGCCTTCACTTCTTCTTTGATGTGTATTACTAAACGTCTGACTGGCTCAAATTTAAAATAAACTTTGGTATGCTTGCACTTGAAAACTGGAAGTAGACCACAAGCAATAATTTGTTGTCAGTTTCCATATTCTTGGACTAAAGCTATAGTTTAGTCTGTTCACTGTTGGGGGTCAACCCACTCTAGTCCAGTGGCCCAGAGGTGGCTCAGCTTACTCATAAGAGCACACATCATCGTAACCTGATAGCAATGATTAGGATTCCCCTCATCAAGAAAGAGCCAGCACAGGTTAAACTTTTTCACATCTCGAAAGAATTCTAAAGCCACTGTTGAATAGAAGTCAATCACAACGATCCTTTAACTTTGAATATCAACTGACAGCTGTTCAAAAAGCTAAGAAGACATGTACGGCTTATGACTTCATGTAGACAGAAAATGTATTTTAATTACGTTTCTTCTAAGGACTCATTTGAAATTAAGCTATCTTTATTCAAGATACTGACCTTAGGCCTTCTTCTTTTTTATTTTCCTTTTGGGGTTAACTAGGTTTGTCAAGTACATGGAAATAGATCTACAATATCCTTGGAATATATCAGTGGGACTTTTTATGGGCAAACCACCTAATAGTCAACTTCTTTTGTGATTAACTCCTCTGTGATGATATCCAAACTGAAACTGATACATCATAAACTTTATTCTGTGTTGAAAGAATTTATATTGATGTTTTGAAATTTTAAGTGATACCTTGAATCACCTCATAAATTAGATATGTACAATGAATGAAAAAGGTAGTATCTGGAAGGCTAAAAATTTGGAATTAACCTAAATGTCTATCAACTGGATGACAGTTAAATAAAATGTGAGGTTCTCATGAAAAGGTTGTCCCCAAAAATTATTGGGTTAGAAAAGCAAGTTGTAGAACAATATGTATCATCTATTTCTGATGAATAAACAAATAAAATATACACATATCTATGCTTGTAGTGCAAAAAAATCTGGAAAAATATACACTGAATAATTCATGTTGTGTAGGGCATCGAGTAGAAACTTTTTGTTTATATACTCCTATATTGTCTATGTGTGTACTGCTTTAAATAATTTTAAAAATATAATATCAATTGTAAATAATTGTAATTATAACTAATTTACATACTTCATATTTTTAAAAAACTATAGCCTCTTAACTTTTTAATACAATGTGATATTCTCTCGCATTGTGGTAACTCTTTCATGGACTTTTTTTAAAGCAAGACATCTCCAAGATCAGTTCTGCCTCTTAAGTTACCTTCCTATCCTATAAGTCTGACTCACTTGCTGGTCTACAAAGCTGACCAGATGAGCGCTGACTGAACAATGTACAATTTGTCACATTACTTCTGTGATAACGTAATACAATCATTTAGATAATGGTCAAGTAACTTGTTGAGTAGAATCTTAAGTTTGAGTAAATGTGTGGAAACTGATCATTATGATGATCACTTCCTTTTCTTTGCTCCCTTCCAAGACGTATATTTTACAGAGTTAATCCAGGTGACCTTCACTCTGATGATCCACTCATTCATGAAACCCTCTAAGTAATTTCCCTAATGTGGACAACAAAAATGCACTGGGCAGATATCATTGATCTAGGACTATGCTTACTGAAATAGGGTACAGGCAGACATGCTAAGGACCTAACCCCTCAATAAATAAATGCATCTTCCTGGAATGCCAAATGTATTCAATTGTCCTTAATTTAATGCCTTTTCCTTTTTAAATACCTTTTTTTATTATGTAAACAAGAATTCCTATGCTATGAATAGAATGTATATTCTCATGAATTTTGAAGGTAAAACAAGAAACAATTAAGATATTTTAAACCAATCCCATCCTTGTAGTGGAAGAAAAGCACCTTTCCACTAAATTCCCATAGCAATTTACTTGGTATTCATAATTTTCAGCTTTTCATTGTCGTACTTTATTTACATCTCTGTTAAGTATAACTTCCTGAAGGTAAAGCCTTGGGATTTTTAACTTTCGTATTTCTCCCCCATTCTTTCTCAATGTCTCTAAGTATCTGTAGAAAAAATGAAAAAAATTAGATAGTTCTTAA